ATTATGATGCCAGGAGTCTTTTCTCTGAGTGAGCCGTGCGACCGTCAAAGACTCTATTTTTGGACGTTCAAGCTTCTTGTTTGACTTCTCCAGAGCATCGTGAGGACTGAGGAGAATATCAAAACTGTCTTTAGGGTTATTTTATTCTTTGAAATTTATTTCATGGCTTTATTCAATATTATATTTTGATACAATATAGAATTCCCAGCAAAAAATATTTCAACAAGTTTCTTTTACAAAAAAACGGAAACAAAGACAAAAAGGTTAATAAAAAATCTGAAATACTGTACAACTTTCCAATTTGAGTCATGTTAAGAATGCTGGTTATTGACTAGGTTAACTCTAACAACTTGTTCGTCACAGAGTATATTTGCTAGATAAGATATTATAGAACTTCTATACTTTTGCTTGCGTGCTCGGATTTTAATGTAATTTCGCCTTGTTCTACCAGAAGATATACAAGGAGAAAGACATGAGTTAAGGGGATAGTTAGTATCTGATAAAATAACACCCTCTAGGAGATTGCATGACTTTAGATGTCTATCCACAATCATATTAATTATGATCTCAAAAGATTCACCACACACCTTGCCAACTACCTTCAGCACTCTCCTCAGTACAGTAAAGTCCTTTTTCAAAAGCCCGGGAAAGAATAATGGAAAACAGTAAAGAATAATAGGTAATATGCAAGAATTAACAGATTGTTAGAATAAATGACGAGTGATCAAAAGAGCATGCAATCTCTTTATGTAGTAAGTCAGACGGAAAACCTTCTTCGATAACAATAAAACGTGAGAAGACCAAGAGAGATCAGAGGACAAGGTAACACCAAGATAATTGATCTTTGACACTGTGTTTATCGAAGAGCCTCCAATGGCACAAGCACCATGGGGTCTCAAAATGGTGTTTAGATGCCGTTCATGTCTCATGCTAAAGTTAACAGCTTGACATTTAGACGGATTAAGTATGAGATCATTAACAGCAGACCAACAATCAATACGAGACAAAAACTCATTCATTTTAATGGGATGTAAAGAGGTAGAGATTGGCATACCTACAGTAAGATCATCTGCATATTTCAAAAAAGTGTTTACTGTGGAAGATGGCAGATCATGCAGAAAGAAAGAGAAAAGAAGAGGTGAAAGAACAGCTTCTTGTGGTACACCTTCATAAAACACTAGAGACTCTGAACACTTTCTTCCAAACACTGTGTACTGTTCCCTTCCAGAGAGGTAGGAACACAGCCAGCTGGCTTTCCAGCTGTCAGTGCTGACACTGATTAACTTGTTAAGTGAACGTTGTCTTGATATAGAATCAAAAGCTGAAGTAAAGTCCAGGAAAGCGCATCGAACATACTTCATACCCTTTCCTAAGTTGAACACTGTTGTGATGCAGAACGGCAACAGCATCTAAGGTGCTTCTTTTGCATCTGTAAGCAAACTGATACTGGTCAATGTGCTCTTTTATCGCAGGCTGAAGTAAAAGTGTCAATAATTTTTCCATTGTTTTGAGGAAGGGTGAAGTTATTGCGATAGGTCTAAATTTTACACTCTTATCACCAGATACTTTCCTGGGTACAGGGATTATCTCCATCTTTCTCCCCATGTTCGGTATGAGATTAGAAGAGATGGATCTGTTAAAGATAGTAGTGAATGGATAACCCTTTTTAAAAAAGAGGTTTGGGATCCCATCAGATCCCAAACATCGGGATGAATTTAGTGACTGGAGACATCTTCGGACATCAGTTTCCGTGAAACTAGGAACACAGTATGATAATTAGGAGTAATTGAATTATAGTATGAACTAAGAATCCCAGAAATAACGCAATTGAATCAAGAAGTACTACACAAGCACTAACGAATGTACTGTATTTAGAATTCGAAAACAAGCATTCAACAAGTACAAAGCAATCATTAGTTCATTCAAACACCACATCTGCCACAGCTTAAATTGGAGTCCAGGTGTCTGTAATTAATTGCACGTCTTCTTCTTAAGTTCATCCTGTGTCTGTCCAAGAGTGTATTGGATAAAGACTCTGTATTATCTAGGATGCACTCATTAGTATTAGAACTAACAACGGAAATCGGAACAGACTTACTTGATTTCTGGGATTGTGAACAATCACCATGCCGGTTGAATACTGAAACTACTACCTAGAATATGAACCACAGACTATCCTCCCCCAAGAAATAATGTCGGATCATCATATTCTCAAGTTATGAATAATGTGGCTTCATTTAAAACATCTTCCTCAATTTGACTAGAGTAAACATTGGAAGTGAATTTATGATAAGGACAAACAACGGTTGATATAGAATTATCTGAATTGTAATCAAACTCTAACTCATTTAATACTCGTGCTTCGCATCGAACAAGTTTCTCACATCATGAGGACAAATAATATTTGATATGACATCAAGATTGGATTCTTCTGAAATAGTTTGCACAAATTTATCAAGAATGTCATTACAGAGTAAAGGATCATTAGAAAAGTTAGCACCAATTAAAACTACATCAGTTTTTTGATCATGATTAGGTTCATCCGAAATATTCTCAACAGATTTGTAAGAAATTTCATCAGAAATATGTGAATCATTAGGAAAAATCATATCTGGTACAACAGCATGGGAAATCTGATAGGTTGATTGATTAGGAATTGTTGTCTCGGAAGGATTCTGAGTTTCATTTAACTCTGAACTGCTATATGACTCTAAATTGTTAGGATCAGAATTACAAACTGAGTGAATATGTCCAGTACCACCACATTTAAAGCACTTAGAATTATAAAATTTACATGAATTAAAAGAGTGAAACCTGCCACAGGACAAACATTGACCAAACTTGTGCCTATCCTCGTGAACTGCATCGCAATTCCTAAATGAATTATCCGCATAATCTTGAGTATGCACTGGGATAGGGTGACGTAATGTAGTGGAATTTTTTATATCCTCATGAATTATTTTACGAAATCTCCCTTTACCGCATTCGAAATTTGTATACTTAGCACAGTCTAGAAGTAGTTCCTTGAGAGTTGTATAAGGAAGAGAAATGGGCTTTTCCGGTAAAGCCAAAATTTTTATTAAGCTATATGCTTCTTTTCCGATGAATGTGAGAAAATGTGCCACAATATTAATATTCTCATCATCTCCCTTGGTCATAGCCCAGATTTCGAACCTTTCAAAGTAATCCTCATAAGCATCAAGATCCGAATGAATATCTAACTGTTCCATCGCAGGCCCCATCGCGACGCCAATATGATAATTAGAAGTATTTGAATTATAGTATTTCATAATGTGGCTCTCAGTTCACAAGAGACCACAGGTTTTCAGCGTCTTCAATTCTCTGTCCGATTGATTTTTTTGGAATAAGTGAAGTGCTACACGACTATATTCCTGGGCTAATCTTCCTGTTATTGTTCATTAATGACCTGTCTAACTCTTTGAATTCTCGAAATCCCGTTTACGCAGATGATCTTAAGTTAGTAAGGGGGGATTATTAACTTAGCTAACCACGCAACTTTTAAAGATCTAGGTAGGTTACGAGACTGGACTACCGTATACTTCCATCTCATCAACACAAATAAATGTAAAATGTTAGTGGTGGACGGTAGTAACATTCTACCTATCAGGTACTACCTGGGAGATCCTAGTTTCGTACTGTCCGTCACTGGAAATACCTCTTCCCAACGATGTTGTGCACCCAATGAAGCACGGTAACTCTTGGGCCTTTTTTGTGGAACATCTGATAACCTAACTCCAGCGTATTTAAAAGCTGCTTCCAGTATTTACCTACGATCTAATATAACAAAACACCCCTACGATATGTCCCTGAAGATGCCACAGGTATTCGGAGTTTGACAACGCTTTAACCAGTAACACCTTCTAATATGAATCGTACCCACTAAGTGAAATCAAAATACAGAAGCGAGGAGGTTCGAAGATATATTTGACAAACTGTCAATATATCGAGGATCGTCTGAATTAATCTGGCTAGCGACTGCAGTAGATGTTGGGCATGGCGTTCCCACGCGTGATCTGGTGTGGATGCGTGACCGAGTGCCTTCAGCTAGATGAGTCCATTAAAACTAAGGTAGTCAGCATCCAATGTCGAAAACTTACAGAGCTATTAATTTTGTGGATTTATTTGTAGCTACATCCCCATTCTTTATTAAGGATATTAATCTCTTGGATCGTGTTAGAGGAAGGTCAACTATAAAGATACTCAGACTAAAAAACAAACCCTACTCAACTTGTTTGGAAGTCTTAACTCATAACCAACGTAGTAGCGGAAGATTAGCGGGGATATCGTTATGAGATATCATATCGCTCTCCACTAGAACGGACCGGTAATGTGTTGCAGTAATAAACCATAACTAAGAGAAAATCCACTCGTGATAGAACGCTTCCAATGCTTAACCTTTAAAGAGAAAGTTCGAAACTATTTTAACTCTGTAGGCACTGAGGGAAACTACTCTAAGTGTTACCTCTCGATCACTTCTATCAATAAATGAGATACACTTTCTATCAGTTTCTAAGACGAATATAGAGAGAATCACAAGAATGCACTCCAACTACCTAGATGCCGATTTCAAGGGACAAATAGTTCACTAATTCTTCCAGGCAAAGTAAAAGTGTTTCAAGGGATCCTTAAGGGTATTTATCATGCTATAAGTCGTAACTGGGCCACCCATATCTTATATGATGTAATGTCAATGAATTCAGATGTTCCTGGAGGGATTCGACCTGGAGGAGTTGAACTGTTTCCTTGGCTTAATAAGTCATTGACCATCTATTGTCAAACAGACCGCGTACTTGTTGGTGACTTCAAAGAAGTATGTCCTGAATGTATTAATCTTGAATATGATAATTGTATAATTATCGATTACGGAAAACCGTTTCGTTTTTGTTTCATTGGTTGTGAAGTTACTCCCTCCCTTGGCGCACCTTGTTTCGTTTGTGAACAGCTGTACCCGTGGAGTATAAGCTCTGTTTGGTGGTTCTATGGATCAGTGCGAGATTTACTCAACTCGAGGTAGCGCCTTGGAATCAGCAGTCACCTTACCTAGAAGGTACGTACAGTAGTATATCGTCAGACATGCAGCACAATTGAGTTGATGGTTAATCACCAATTAGTATCCCCCGTGTTTACGGATTGAATAGTCACGCTGTAACTTTTTGAGAGTTTTCCGAGGGACTAAATGTCTTAATAGACCATACTTTATACTAAAAAGATTACAGAGTTATAAAGAAAGTGCTTGTTTAGGGTAACATTATTAATGGTCCAACCTCTAGATGTTCAGTGGTCTGTCTTTTGTAGAGACTATGTTTTTGTCTGATGAAAAACCTACTTATGGTAGTTTGAAACACGTTTCATGTGTTTTAGGGCTTAATCATGGTTTGCTAGTGGTGATTTATTTCCAGTACTAAACGCGATCCCATATTTCCGACTTTTAAGATATCTTGGTTTGTTAAATGCAAACTTATATTTGTCACATTACGAACACATCTTCAAGATCTAGTGCCTCAAGCTATCTCAACGTAAAATCTTGGTTTTCCATCAATCTATCCGTGTATTTACTACTGGGAACCATCATGCACTGTTCATTTTATATCTTAAGATATGCTTCTACTATGTGGATTTTTGTAGTGTAACTCTGATTGTTATTCTATTTACTGACTTGAAACTACTTTCAATCTCATCAGTGGCGTTCAGGTTTTGACTTTTGGGCATTTATTCAACCTGAGCGACGTTTTTTAATGTGGCAAAGGTTTCTGAATTTACGATCATAATACGAATTCTCGTGTTCTTGCTGATCGTACTGGATTGTATGTCGCCAAACTAACCAAATTAACTCGAAAATAAAATCGCACTAAAATATGTACCGCAAACACACTTGTTCTTAGTGAGGTCATGAACCGATTAATGTGAAACCATTATTGAAAACCTGGGAGCACTAGACGGCCGTTTCGTCCTAGTGTGAGACTCCTTGGCAGTGTGTATTCACGGTCCTGTATACGAGACTAACAATAAACTTGTTCATTTACCGGCTGCGGATAAGCTGTAAAATATTTAGAGTACAAAAGTGCTGTCTCAATGTAACCGGTCAAGCACGGTTTTCCGTTCTGTAGTAACAGTTGGAATATTGTCACAAGTTCTACTATCCTGTAATCATTTACTTAAGAAGTAGCATTTCGTTTCACTTGTTTTGTTCGGTTTGGAAAACTTAATTATAAAGTATTTCGATGTTATGTATCACTCGGTTTTCCCCCTAAGTATTTAGTAGTAATTCTAAATTGTAATGCCAAGAAACAAGACTTTTACTCGTCTTTGGTAAGTAAATATTTATGGCACGATTAACTACAACGATAGGTTCTGTAACATCAGGTTCAAATCACCTAGAGTAGGTAAGTTTGTGTGGCCTTCCAAATAATCGGTCAGTTGTATGAACAACGTAAAATCTAAGATATAAGGTTTCATTTATACGTCCTTACATTCAAACTTAATTTAGTACGTTCTGTTTGTCATCTAGCCATGGAAAGCTCAAACGGGACCAAGGGGAACTCATGGATGATGCTGTAAAACTTGCTGCTGTGAGTTAATTTTGATTTTAGTCCAACCATATATAAATTACTTTTTGAGCTCATTTTGTACTAGTATATGTCTAACTTAATAAGCAGTCCAACTAAATTAAATTTCGTATTTTATAGCTGAGTACTCAAATAAAAAATGGTTCATAAAAATAGAAATAACCACTCTCGATTTCTAACAGTTCAGTTAGCTAGATAAATATCCTGTTAAATTAAGATCACTGATTAACAGTGGATGATTTCAAATAGTTCAATGAGTAAGGCGAGTCAACTATGTTATTTTCCCTATTTATGTACAAATATTGCAGACTCAATATCGTTCCACTATATAAACTCGTCTCACAGTGCTCTTTATAGATCATTGTATTTGGATATTCATCTGTAGTTATACCTCTGGAGTCTTAGTAAATGCTTTCCGGTAGTGCGTCAGAAATCTGTTCATATTCATCGTTGTTGTATGTTATCTCAAAATAGACAAAACTGATTCTTTGGCAGCTACATCAGTTCCTTTTTAAGAAATTGTTACTTTATCTAGAATAAATCAAAATCTTTTAACAGTCCATCTTATAGACATGGTGGTAGATATTGCTGAAATTCCAGCTTCTATTAAAAAAAGATTTAGTATTTTGTTTATACTTTCAAAAGTTAGCTCTTTGCTAATAATTTGCATATAGAGGTTGAAATTCCATATCTCACTGGTATGATTAATTTCTCAGAACTCTTGTTTTTCTCTCGTATCAGTGTGTCGTGCTTGATTCTTGGTTTTGGTGGTTATAATATTATTTAAAAGTAATGAACTACTTGGATTGTATTAAATTTCAAAAAACGTCAAATATCTTTCATATATGACCAGGTGTGGCGCATATATATTTGGTGCCCCCCTGTACCAGTATTTATGTGTTCAAATAAATAATAATAAATATATGACCAGCTGATTAGTCCCTTAATTCGATTGTGAAGTACTTTCAAAACCTTATTTAGCTTTACTCGCTGAACTATCAGGTACATTATATCAATGGCGCCCATGTTATTTGATTGCTCTAACTCAGAGTTCGTGAAACAAGTACAAGTAAGGAAGTTTAATTTCTAAATGTGGCGTTTGTCGTTCATACTCAACCACATTTGTTTCAGTCGGTGTTGCACAAAACAACTCCAAGCTTGTTGGACCTCAGTAGAACATGAAACTATCAGTTATTGGTTCAAGGCCCGTGGGTAGATGGAAATCTTACTAAAGCTCATAAGATTTCAGAAGTCTGTTTGAAGACCTGCGGATTGATTGATTACAAACTAAAAATATTCATTATGTTTCTAAAAGACAAGCGTCTTGCTCCATTTGGTTGCATTTATTATATTTTGCTTCATTTGTTTCTCACCAATTATTCCATCATGTGGTTCGATTAGGGAATTTCTACCTAGTCACTGTTGTCTCAGGTTGCACATTGGCCTGCTGAGTTTTATGAACACTTCTATATATACAGCCGCCCATCTGAAGGCGTAACATCTGAAGTAGAAGTAGGTTAGAGGAAATCTAAAAGAGGTCAGACCAGTTTATAAAATCATTGACTGTTGGACTAAAATCTGTTGGTAAATGCGGGCTATCTTTTTGTGATCCGGGCAATAACTGCGATTATTCATTACAAACGTTGGATGACATAGCTTAGAAACTATTGCAATGACACAGATACATTCACTCTTTATTTTCCTTTAAATCTTGAGTTCTCATATTTCTTCATAGATATATTTTTTAACCATGTTCTTGATGTTTAGTCTCTCAATATTGTTTATGCTACTATTATTTCGAATCATTTGCTACTCATCTTATTAGTTTCATCTCTTTATTCCGATATGGTGTAGTGATTTGATTTAACATTTGTGCTAGGCTATTCATTGATTATTAATTATACTATTCATTTTAGTAGGTAAACCCACCAGATTTTTCATCAGATTGTTATTCCTCTCTAAATATATCATTTTTTCATGGGATGTTTTCCAATATGGATCCGGATTTGGTGATAGCTTCCGTTGTTCCTATTAAATATTCGGTGTCTTTTACTTTTTAGATTAAAATTTCACGACAGTCACAACCACCAGATTCAGATGGTCTAACTGTAATAAACACATCTGAAACAAACGCCATGAGTGTTTTACCTCGTCTTCTTCGAACTATGACAAACAGAAATTCTCAGGCAGCTAACGATAATCGATCTGCCGTTGAAAATAATCAAATCTCAAATGGTGAATTATGCTTTTCAGTGTCTGTCCCTGGACCAACTGTCAATGATAGCGATTCTTCATCTTCTTCTTCCTCTTTTATGTCAACTCCATCTTCCGGTTCATCATTGATTTCATTTCTTTCTCCTGGACATTTAGGACCTGTTGCTGCTATGGCCGCTGTAGCGTTGTCAACTGCTGTAACTACAATGTCTGTAAATGATATTCAAGAATCTTCAGGTCTAGTAACTTTAGCAACTGCTAGTAGCCTAATTGAAAAAGAATGGCGTGCACGTGCTTCGGTTGTTAATAGTAATAATGAAAGTGTAAGTAATGCAAAAGAACATGCTGAAACTACACTTACTGTCCAGCATCATACTGATTTATTAACATCTACTATTCAAGGAAATATTGATAGAAATCAACAATTCTCTTTGGATGGTTCACCACCTTTAGTAATTGGAGCTTTGAATACTTCATCATCACAGTCCTTATTAAATGAATCGACCCCAGTGACTAGAGCTGTATTGAACGTTCAAAGTAAGAAATTCATGTTACTTTGTGGAAATCCCTTGTATCAATGTATTTCTTATTTACTATTTTGTAAACGATAGTTCACAAAGGCGTTAACCTTGATTATTCAAACAAATAACAACTACTGTGTGCTCCGTTGTCCCAAGTTAATGGTATATTCTAACAGATTTATATACTTCTGAATTACCGTTACAATCCTAAGATAATCTTTGTTCATATGTAAGCTTTACTAGTCTCACATTGTCTTACAAACTCGTCAACTTTTTAAATCTGTAAATTCTCTTTGACCTTGCAATGGACAATAAGTGTTTTGTCTTGAAAAGAATTTGATCCGGCTGACCAGTGAGCAAAGTTAGTCTGTTTTAAACAAATGTTTTAGTATATAGCTCAGTGCCATATATTTACATCACAAAAATAATAAGTCATTTGGGGTGAGATACTATATTATCAGTTATATGTTTGGTTAAAAGACTTGGTAACGGATATACCTCACTGTATGACGTACCCCAACAAGCGTTGAACTTTTACTTATACCTTCTTGTAAGTTACTCTCCAAGGTTCTACAAATACCCTAGTATGGCTGAGGGTGAGAAGAGTACCCACCCCAAATGTTCCCATGTAACCACGCATTTGTTAGCTACTGTCAGGGGAGTTCTCCAGACTTGTTAGCCGGACATAGATTGGATTAAGGCATGCTCAATGCACGATTGCTTTGGTGCACACTGATTGTCTAATTCTTATCCAATCAGCGCTAGTCGATACTTGGCGAACACTAGAAATCTCATGTAAAAACTACAAATATACTAACGTTCTTCCTATTGTGCTCCTTACTTTCATCTAACCTTGTTATTTGGAATGTAATCTCTCCTGTTCAACCGTGTTCTGGTTTGGGGACTTGTCGAGTGAATCAGTGTCCGTGATTACTAAGCAATAGGAATAGCTGAGTTGTAATAAGATAGAATTTTAACAAGACTGCATTATCAAGTGAGAAGGGGTGTTGCTTAAGAAATTGAGAGGACGAAAGCAGGATGTTCGGCTTTTAAACCGGGTGGGTGTAAACGGATGACCCACCTAAACCCTGATTCCAAACCAATGGTGCACATGGGCTCCAGGATTCCGAGGTAACGAAAGGTGTATGAACCTATTGTTGGTCATCGACTACCATGGAACTGCATCCCCTAGCGTTGTTCCATTGCCTTTTTGATTAGATCGCTAGATCAAAGGCTCGAGGAGTGGCTCCCCAAGTAGCCCAGCTGCTTCAATTCGTGCTTCCGGCCAGTATCCCAGCCCACACACAAGCTCAATGATTTGTATGGAGCACATATATTGTTGTGCCGCTTTGTATTAATGTTTGTACTTAACTAAATAGATAAATAAAGATTCATTATTATGGTAGCAACATCGTTCACGTTTAGTTAGTTAGAATTGGTTTCTTCTATTAGTATGGAAGTTGTCATCTGTACATTTGTAAAAATAACTTGACACTACGTTGGCTTCCGGGCATTCTTGTTTCGAGTACCTTATGACATCCGTCCAATAGAGCTAAACATCGCATTTTTGTTGGAAAAGTACTTGGATACTAGTTCACATAAACTGTTCACTCTAATTACCCTATATCGTAGTTTTGGGTGTTATCCTACTGATAATGAACTCTGCCTGTAGCTCTTCTAGAGTTACTACCGGTCCCAAGCCCGGGTAAAGGATAATAATAATAATAATGACCATTTCCATCTACTCTTAAGCTTTGAAAAATGTTTATGAAAGTTAGTCAACGATCCAAAATCATCTAAACAACTGTTGAGTAGAAAGAGCTCTAGCTTAAAAATTTTTAGTAACACACTCAATGTTATGGTAACTGTAGAGTGGGTGGAGTTACCCAGTGTTAACTCTAAAATATCTTAAAGTTTTGGTGAATGTAATACTTACTGACTGAGTTGGTAGTATAATAATTATTTTCGGGCAAATGGGTGGTTCCTACCAAATGAAGTTTTTATGTCTGTCATAAATGATATTCATTAGGTTTGTTTTAAACGCTCATAGCTCTCATAAATAGGTTACTACTAAATTCTAGATATTTTTCACAGGTTTAGCAGCTTTTATTCGTGAAACTCAGAAACAATGCTCCATATCCAGTCCAACCACATCTATTGAACTGCCTCTAACGTCAGTTTTCCCTCTTCAAACTGAAACAAAATTAACTTCTTCGTGTACTGTCAGGCAAGTTGCTTCACCTTCCTATCTTTTACCTGCTGCATCCACTCCATCTTTTCTACCAATGACTCCGGTCCCACAAAATCTTCCAACTGTTTTAGAACAGCCTTTACAACATTCAGAATCAGTGGCAGTAAATCATAATACTCATCCATCACCACCTATTCAATCAACTGCATTCATATCTTTACAACCTGCACCAGGTTCTTTAATTAGTCCTTCTGATTTACAACAGCTTGTAGCAAGTGGGGAATTCATGTCTTCAGCAGCTCGGGTAAGTTCATCTCTTATATAATCAAGAATATACTATATAGAAATATCTAAATGTCACTGTAATAATACGTTACCACTTCATACTTCAATCTAAGCATAAAGTTCTTTTAAAAAAATTTCAATCAAATATTATCACTCTGCTCAAGTTTAACTAGGCGTTTTATTGTGGTTTGAGAATATCTCCGTATATAAGTTCTTAAGTTTTCTTAGTATTGAGCTTAGTTTCTTCGCCTTTCAGTTAGGGTATATTTTGTGGTTTAGTCACTAAGTTATTGTTTACCAAATTTTAGTTGTTTTCGAATATAGATCGACCAAAAATGATACTGGTACATGGTCATTACTGTTTATCATCTAGTTAGTATTATAGCGCAAAACGGATTATTACATCTTTTCGAGTCTTATATTTCAGTTGAATTCACTATCGTCTATCATACGTAATGTAAAACTTCTTACACATGTGTATCGATTCTGGTTGTCATACCACATTGACACAGCTAGATGAAATTATTTTAAAACATCCCAGAGTAGTGGGGGTAGCAACAGTATCAGTAGTGTTAGTAGAAAATATTTGGCATAGATTTTGGGACTCATGTTCCGAAAGAAGACAAGAAGTTAATACATGTGCACAATTGCGAACGATTTTGAACTATATTACCTTAATTCTCTAACCACTTGTTACGGTAATCGCGTGTACCCTAACCAGATAGGTTGCACCTACCTGCCTGAGTCAGTCCGATTTTCATTGGCTTCATAGACTGGTACCACATTTTAGTTCGGCCTCCCCTAACTTTTTTCCAACCTAATTTTACACTAGACATCACTCATCGAGGTATCTAGTCGTTGGGCAAACGTAACACTACCTTATCAGTCTATTTTCCATGTTTACCGGGTACCTTATCTCTAATCTCGATATAACTTTATTCAATGGTCTCAAAGTGCACAAGTAATGCTAGATTTGAGTTACTTATAAGTCATTCAACTTTAAATCTTGCCATGGAGTGCAATAGTACTTGTTCTGCAATAAGACAGGTAAAAGTTTTATTCCAGTTTAACTATTATGAATTTTTTTTCACTCTGGTCAAAATACTAAACTTTCAAACATATTTTGACGTTATTCATGAAACATCCTTTTAGATTTTTTTCCCATAAAAATTAATTCTTTCAGAATAAAAACTCCACAACAATTTGAGTTATTATGTGAACTTGACAAAAGTTTACGTTCGTTATGACATTAATGTTTATCATTTACTCTTGGTGAATAGATGTTTTTGATTCAGTATTTTTTAAAATTATAAATAACAATAATAATGAAGATTTTAGATGATTTTAATCTGAGTTGCATGTGATGTAATACTATCACATAATTCTCAAATATATTACTTTCGTATCCTTCAATAACTGTCATGATAGTATGCTAACTATGTCAGTTTGGTTCTTTGGATTTAGCAAACTTTACTTGGTCAGTCTTCTGATGGATCTACACGACAACTTTATTTGCTCGTACCAAGTGACTGTCCTGTAATTATGCCAAGAGTTTCAAATAATCAACCAACTATGACTCCTATTCTACCATCTACATCTCCTTTGATTGAATCTATTCCCACAAGTGCCCCAATATTGGAAGCTATATCTCCAGGTGTAGAACCTGAAGAAAATTGTGTTCAAATGCAATCTGAATCGTCAACATGTAACAATGCACAACAAGTGCTAACTTCTGTTTCACATTTAGCAACTACAATGCTTAACCCAATGAGTTCTGCATCCACGACAGCATTATCTACTTTTTTGGCCGGCTTAGAAGCTCGTAATCATCAACCTACACAACAGATTCAATTAGGTGGGTTACCTTTATCTGCCGTAACATCTTCGCTGTCTTGTTCATATTCTGACTCTTCATCAGCCCACACTGCTAAAGATTCATCGGCTCCCAGTTGTCCACAACTTAGAATTCCACTTCAAGTTTCTGGCCTTCCCATTTCCGAGAATGGTTCATTATCAGTTGAACAAAATGTTTACCCTGTTACAAATAACGCTGCGAACTCTATATTAGGTGTTGTGAAAAGTAAGTTTTAATATAGATTCATAAAAAAAACAACCTGATAATTATTAAATTGTCTTGTGAAGACAGATTTCCACATCTATATTCCATTTTTTAAATTAGGCATTTACTGGCTATAGAAACATGACAGCAGTTCAGAGGAATGTCCATTATTCATTAATTATGGAAATATCCTTTTCCATTCTTTTACAAATGAATAAAGTTATATACAAAATAAAACCAGACACATTTGTGCTTCGGCTCTAATTGTCATAGTGAGATAAAATTATTTCAACAAAAATTCCACTGTAGTAAAAATAGTAATACTATCAGTAGTCATAGAAAAAGAAAATAAGATATAAGATCCTGAAATTCAAGATCTAAGTGGAACCAAAGAGTGAATGTATCTACACAATTTTTACCGATTTCGACCCATATCACACAGTCTTTAGCCATTGGTTACGATAATTGCACATTATGCACTACTATATGGTGACTATAAATCATTTTCATATCTAGATACGGCTTATTCGTTTGTGTTCTACAAGAATTAGCTTAGGATATAAAAATTGGGGTTGACTAGATCGAGATATCCCATTACTTTATGAAGTCACTACTGAAGTGTAGACATCCTGATAAGGATTCGCAAATTAATTGTATCCTGCAGTTAAATGTCTTAGGTGACATGGCTCAGCCTGAAGGTACGTCACAGATACACACTATTTTCATCCTTCTCTAAACATCGAGTTTCAATATTCCATACGTTTCATTTACTGATTTCACTATTTATGTTATCAGTGTCTATTTTTTATATGGTTAATATCAATATTCCTTTTTCTCTACGTTTTATCTCGTTGATTTCCTTGGCTGTGTTGTATTCCCTAAACTGGGTGTTTGATATTGATTTCCCCTCTCTCGCGGTGTGTGTGTGTGCCAATATGAAGTATGAAAGCCTTGAACCAACACACACACATATATATATATTTGCAGCAGGTTTTAACGTTGTTCATTTTAGTCTTATTCCGATTTACTTTCCCGGTTCTGAACTGTTAAATTGAGTCAATTAAATATTCTAATCTTGTCATATTCATTACATCTGGATACTTTCTCTAATTAGTAACCATATTTCTTAAATAAGTTTAAAAATATAATTACGTAATTCTGTTCTATTTATATATATCTTCTTATAGTCTTCTCCAGCATTTATGATAGATCTATTTACTGTATTGTCGTCACTCTTTATAGGAACACTTGTGCTCTAATTTTACGTTTCATTGTTTTTTATGTGTGTGCGTGTGTGTATGCTAACAACTTTATGTTCGCATGTGTATGTCTACGGTCATATTCACTGAAGTAGTTGTTTTTAATTTTGTTCACAATTAACACCTTTACCAAGTATCCACACTTGTTTTTATTTAAATAACCACTATTCATATTATTTCACCCGTTATTTGTGAATTAATCTACTAGTCTTGACATAATGATTAACTAAAGTCTTTACCTTGAAGTGCTGACATATTTTTCACCTAAGACTAATTCAATTATATACACAAATATTCGTGGCTCAATTGTCTTATCATGATTTAGAGACTTATTCCCTTCACCCTAATCTTAGTACTGCGTCCAGTTGCTAATCCTCCAACAAATGTATTCATCGATTTAAATCTTTACATTGAGCGCACCCGTTAAAATTACTACACCGGTTTCCTACCAACACATAAAACAGCGAAAGGGAATCAATAAAAGATACCAGAATAAGCATTATTATCATTATTGATTTATTTTTATTAGCTTTATTCAGTATTCTATTTTTGGTACAATATTGAATTCTCAGTACAAAGTATTTCAGCAAGTTTCCGTTTCTTATTTCTTGATCGATATTGACAATAAATATTGATTGATCACCAGTTAGATATTAGCATTGCAGAAGTCGACATCTGAATAATATTCATTCTTTTCAATGCACATTGCCAGCCATCACTATGTCTCCGATTGTTAATTTTTGTAACTTGTACAGCGAAAGGTCGTAAACTTCTCACAAACACACCTGAATGAATAGGTTATGCAATTCAATTGACATAATGATCTGTTAAAACAAACAATGAAACAGAAAACTTGTTGAAATATCTAGATGGTAGGAATAGGTAGCCCGGATATTCATGCAGGCCGCCCGGATCATAAACCATATGGAAAGGAAGAATGAACATCATTGACTTATGGACAACCTTTGAAAGTGATCTTGAGAAACCTTACCCCACTTGTTGAAGTTAAAGGTTATGGGAGGAATTAGGACAGAGTTAGGGTTAAAAATTAAGATTAAGACTTGTATCATGAAATGTCATCAACTTTCGTGCCAAAATCCATTTGTCGTCATTTTAAATCTCATCGGTTCGTCAAAAAATTCTTGCGGCTCAGAATTGTTCACTTTTTATGTATCTTTGTGTGATGGCTGAGTATGCACCGTTTAAATGCCTGAAACATCTTAAGTGGCATTGGATTCGTACCTATAACTTACAATTTAAAGTTAATTGTTAGAGTGATCCAGAAAACTTCTCGCAAAATACAAACAAGGATCAGGAAAACACTAAGAAGCATTTTATCCAATCAACGTTCACTTGTAGTTTAGCTAGAAATATCAAGAAAGTGAAGAGTCACATGCAGAGTTTCTGATTAGCTGATTACCATACTGCTACTATGTTTAGTAGCATTCCAGAACCTTCGGGAAGACCATATATTTTCTGTACTAAATCGAACCCTTGGAGTAAAGGACTAATCGCATACTTTGCGCCTTTTCTCTCATGTTTAGGTCGCTATGTAGTTTTAGCTTGGGGGTTACGAGAATAGCTTAGGAACGAAATATAGCGTTCAATTAGCAAGACTTATCATTAATAACCTAAAACACTAAGTCACAAATACACACAGGTATGATAAAAAAACTCAACCGGTAGGTATTATAACTTAAGTCAGAGTGAATGATAGCAAATTGTGTCCACCTAACTTTAGTTAACGTTGACAAGCTGTTCTTCGTCACGCTTTCCAAAACAGTGGAAGCAACTCAGTGAAAATTTTGCTTTTCTTGTTTTAAAAAAGTCATCTACATTCTATGAGCTTTGTAGAATGATTTTGCTGTTTGTGTAGTCAAAACGCAGATTCAGTCAGTCAGTCAGTAACAACGTGGAACTTCGTACGTACGTACGTACATCAGTTCGAGTTGCCATACCACATTAACACAGAGATTCAGTTATCGATTCAAATCCCATAGTGGTAGAGGTACTGAAAGTATAAGTAGAGATAGGGGACATTAAGGTTTGATGATTATTTTTTCTCGAAGTAGCTGGGTTGAGTAACAAGACAAACAAGATAAATATCCCTCAACTAAGCTCTAAAACTCCAGAAAAGATCAAAATGTTTTGTCCAATCAGTGTTGAATAGAAACTTCTCAGAAACATACAGAAAAATAAAGTTATGTGCCATCAGCTAAGATGATTAGTAGCTAGCAGCGGAATTCAGGACACGCGTTCCATTCTTTTTGGGACTCCCCAGCTGGATGTACCTGCTTGTGAATTAAGGAAATATCGAGGCAGTGCACACAGTATGCACATATGCCAATAAGAGACTGATCAATTGCAGTTCTAAGCATCAATAGGAAGATCCAAGTGAATTATGTGTCAAATTTCGATCGGATAATTACAAATGCTGTTACTGTATTTGGTATGTTCTAGAGGCTTGTATGAGACCAAGGTCATACAAAACATTATGAATACATCCGGTATTCTGTACACACTCTTAAAGGCTCTTACATTCAGTACCTTTTTTCTATTGTTCATGTTGAAGTGTAAAGGTAGTCTCAATGCAATGAAATTTTTAAATTTTTTTGTGTATATATCAAGCTGTATTTTGGCTATCAGTATCAAGAAGTTTGTGTGCAGTTAGTTCTTTCCTATAAATAATCAGTTACTGGATAACAGGAATAAGTATTTAAACAAAGATGTTTTATTTATTTATCTATTTATTTAAACATTGGTACGAGGCACCAAATATATGTGCGCAAAACAAATCATTTGGTTTGTGTGAGTGCTGGGATATTGTCCGAGTGCCCAAACCGAACTGGGTGATTTTCTTGAAGGGTCACACCCCGAGCCCTTAACCTAGAGGTCTAATCCACAAGACAGTGAAACAACGTTAGAAGTTACAGTCCCATGGTAGCCGGTGACCAATAATTAGTTCATACACCATTTGTCCCTTCAGAATCCTGGAGCTCGTGCACCATTGGTTTGGAATCAGGGTTTCCCGACTCCCCTAAGTGAATCCTCCATATCCACCAACCCGGTTAAAGCACCGGATATTCGATTTTCGTGCTCTCTATTTCGTGAACAACAACGCTGTTCCTGTTGCAAACATCAATCCATTGTCTCAAATTTTATTATTCATACGTTTTCATACCAATTGCGTTCCGTTCCCGTTCTTTCCTTATCGATCTACTGAAATACATTCTATGCCTGACCACCGTTAAATACTACTTATGTGGATATAAGTAACCCACTCCACAATATTACTTGTATTTATGTAGTGGTAGTGGTCTACATATGTACATTTTATTTTTCTTAATTTTTGTTGTTGTAGGCGATCCTGATATGTACACTCCTAATGGGCATACTTATTCATCTCTAGTAGATGAAACTAATCGATTCCGATCTTATCCAACATATACTCAACAATTATCTCATCATTTACCTCATAGCACAACTGTACGACAGTCTGTTTTAGCTGCCGCTTCTACAACATCAAATAATTCTTTCTTCCAACAAGAATCTTCAAATTCTTTATTACTAAATCAAACGTGTTCTGTACCAAGTAATGTCACGTCAAATAATACGACTACTGCTACTATTACTAATACTACTACTAATAATAATAACAACAATGGAGAGGAATCATTAACAAATGGACATTTTCAGTCACCAATGTCACATTCAAATGTTCCAGCAACCAATACATTTACTGCTTCATTAGCACCTAATTCAGATAAAACTCCACAGTTGCCATCATCTAAATCTAACACTTCAATAGATGAATGTCGTAGAAATTCAGTAACAAACACTATGTTAAATACATCCGGCAATCGGTCAGAACAAGTTAAGGGTAAGTATTTCATGTAAATTACATACTTCCAAGATTTAATGTTTTAAACTCTTTATAAGAGGATTGTTAGTGTGATTAATCAATTCACGTATATATATATATATATATATATATATATATATATATATATATATATATATATATATATATATATATATATATACGTATGCCGTGTATTTCCTAAGAAAGTTTTCCAGTTCAGAAGATGATACGGCGAAAATTTGATTCTTTTTCTTGGGTGTTGTGTCTTGTAAACTGGTTTAAAGGTGTTTTTAATTTATAGGAATTTCTAACCCTAAGAATCAACCTCAACTATATGTCGAGTTAACTGATACAACTAAAAAAGTTTGTGAACACAAGTGTACATACTTTTAGTGGTATAAAGAAGCGCCCAAATAAATGATATGACATCTATTCATGAGCATGCTGATTGTTGGACTGAACGGAACCATATAGGTAGATTCATAATACCTGGTTTAGGGTCCGCACAATTCTCGACACCTAGGCGAAGACTTCATGTGAAATAATGACTCAAAACCATTCACAGTGGCTCAGGCACATTTATTCTTTGTCTTCCTTGAAAACTTGAGTCTCTAAATTACTTTATAAGTTCTTTTTATTTCGCAGACTCCATATTACCTAATCTTTTACCACCAATGCTATAACAACCTCGACTAACATGAGATTTACTTATATAATGTCATCTTGTACTAATGTTTATTTATTTTAACACATAGATATTAGTCCAGGGAGGCACCAAATACATATGCGCCACACAGACCTCATTTAGTATGTGTGAGGGCTGTGGTACTGCCCGGGTGCCAAAACCGAAGCAGGAGAGAGTGTATAACAATTTGAACCAATGTACACATGTGCCAAACTCTACATTGGGTTTAACTGATTGAATAGTATAAAGATTCAAAACATTCTATGTTCTAATAGTTGAATTCATGAGTCGAGCTAGACCACCATTGAGAACCTGAAAGCACTGGACGGTCGTTTTGTCCCAGCGTGGGACTCCTCAGCAGTGCTCATCCACGATTCCACACACGGGACTCGAACCCCATTCTGATAATAACCACTAGTAACTGGCTCCAAGATAGATTTCCTGGAGATCTAGTTGTGAAGAAGTTACTCACTGAAGACAATGGGAGATAGTCGTGCAATATCGTAGATTGATTGAAATTAGACATTAACACTATTGGATATCGGCTCATTGGTTCAGAAGCTAAGCGTTCGCGCGAAACCAAAGTCCTGGTTCCGAGTCCGGTGTGCGGTGTCGTGTCACGTTTCGATCGGATAGGTACAAATGTTGTTACTATATTTGGTATGTTCTAGAGGCTTGTATGAGACCAAAGTCAATCATACAAAGCATCATAAATACATCTGATATTCTATACACACTCTTAAAGGCTCTTACATTCAGTACCTTTCCTCTATTGTTCAAGTTGAAGTGTAAAAGTGGTTTGAGATTATAGGATGGATCTGGGATGTCAATAACGAGCATTCAATTAACAGATCACCTTTTCCACGTATTCCCTCGCATCTATCATTTTACCTTTTTCACTGATGTATATATAGTGTTTATTTTAATATTTCTTGTTTTCTCAGGCTCTACGACCTATTTGGAACATTTAAATCCAGAATCCAAAGATATACGACGTCGTGTCAGCCATAATGAAGGTAAATAATTTTACAATTGAATGATTATTGTGTTTTTGTTTTGCTGCATTTTTTGGCATACTTTGGCAATGTGATGTGGTTTTTCTTTTCTTTATGGAGAGAAAAAGAGAGGTCCCATTAACAACCTTGACCTCGTTGATCACGTGTATAACCCTTTTGTTTTCTACTGAAATGTTTTCTTATGACTGTGTGTTTTGGATGTATATACAAACTGAATTCCGTACTGTAAACAACAACAAACGATGTTAGATAGTGTAGAAGTTTAGAAGAAACTAGGCATTATATTAGTCTATAAAGTCATTGACAGTTTGTCTTAGCCTTGTTAGTTGATATAAAATATCTAGCTGGGATCATCCTCCCCTAAATGCCTTGGTACAGCCGAGGGTGAGGAGAGTCAGCTCTCTCTCCAAATGCTATCACATGGCCACATGCATTCAATCACTGCCAGGAAATTTCTACTCACACCAGCGTTGTTGTTCACGAAATAGAGAGCACGAAAATCGAATATCCGGTGCTTTAACCGGGTTGGTGGATATGGAGGATTCACTTAGGGGAGTCGGGAAACCCTGATTCCAAACCAATGGTGCACGAGCTCCAGGATTCTGAAGGGACAAATGGTGTATGAACTAATTATTGGTCACCGGCTACCATGGGACTGTAACTTCTAACGTTGTTTCACTGTCTTGTGGATTAGACCTCTAGGTTAAGGGCTCGGGGTGTGACCCTTCAAGAAAATCACCTGGGCAGTATGACTGTAGTGCCTTTTCTTCGTTAATCATTCACCTTGACAGCCGTTATAATTTAAATCTCAACGGTGTTTGAATTCAGGAGGCCATGAGAAGCGGCAACTGCAGTGAAGAGTATAAAGCTATAAGCACATCAAGCGAATTTGAAGCAGAAAGGCGAACATATGTACGCGAGCAAATAAAGTTGCAAATTTATAGTCATATCTCAGGGCACAGTAAGGTCAAGCTAGAGTTACTAATAGGATTTGAGTACATACATACATGGGGAGGAGGATGAATCATCGGCTGATATTTAAGCGATCAACATTTTAGCTAGAGTCTATCATGTGGTCTATTGATCATAACAGTACAAATAAATATGCGAATTTTTGCTGTTCTAACAATGTCTGTTGAGTAAGTTCATAAAAGGGTTTAACCAAAATTAACCATAATCGAAATTGGTTGTAGATAGTTGCTATATGAAAGCCCACACACAAAATAATTGACTTTTGTGGGGCTATGCATTCGGTGCCCCTTTGTACCAATATTTCTGTTTTCAAATAATAATAATAATAATAATAATAATAATAATAATAATAATAATAATAATAATAATAATAATAATAATCGTCCCAGTAACCGCAATTATCGATTGAAGACTAAGTAAAATGTCTCAGAATCGGTCACAAACTGTATTCAGTTTTCGTTTCCTTCTGTCTTTTAAAATCATACTCTTGATGCTTATAATGTTTCTCATTTTCTTTTGGTACTACAACTATTTTAATCTCTTTTATATTGTATTGATGATTGACTGTTTGTTTACATGTATTCATTTAATGTTCTAGGTCTTCATTAAAATCTTGAGCCATATGTATAAATATTTTCATCATTTACTAGATACTAATATTCCTTTTTCTGACAGTATTTTTGTTGTAATTTTCAATTACATTACCTAGATCTTTCTCAACTATTCACTTAGCTTCATTGGAAGCTATCTATCTAAGTTTGTCTATTTGAAGTTCATATTTTTATTCCCAGCTGTGTATAGTTCATCTAGATGTGTTTTCAATGTGATTATGATTTGGAATATATGTATTTTTCCGAAATACGATAATGCACTTCACATTGTATTAGTCTGACAAAAAGACTACACTGATAAAGAAAGTTTATATCATGTGATTTAATAAGACATATATACATATATCGTGTCCAACTGTGTCTTTTCATATTTTTATCTTATGACTCTGCCTACTCAACTGATTAGTAAACTGTTAATGAAACTTAACTAGCATAGTCAAACCTAGATTTAATCTAGGTTTACTTTCATATACTTTTAATAAGTGCACCAAATATTTTGCTTACTTTACTTCAAGATTTTTGCTGCTAAATTCTGATTTGTCTTGAGATTTAACAACTCTTAGCATCTGTTTGGCACCAGGATACTATTACTTCGTTTTTCGGCAGTAGGTCTGTGATGAAATTAAACAGAAATGGAAATAGTAGACAGCCCTGCCCGACACCACTTGAAGTTAAAAAATCAGATAACAGTTCGCCATAAACTCGGACTCGACTGGTAGTGTCCGAGTAACGAGCCTTCACAAGGTTTATGTAATTCTGAGCTACACCTTTCAGTGTGGCGCATGTATATTTGGTGCCCCCTTGTACCAATATTTATGTGTTCAAATAAATAAATAAATACACCTTTCAATGACAGACACTGCCACAGAACCTCTCGATCTACAGAGTCAAATGCTGCTTTTAAGTTGTGAAAAACTATCATTGTCAGACGCTGATAATCATGCCTATGTTCTAAGATCTGATAAATGGTGCATGTGTGGTCGATGCAGCCACAATCAGGTCTGAAGCCAAGCTAATCGCCAAAAATGGACCACCATCCTTAAAGACCTCTGGAGCTAAACCATATGGACCAGCTGCTCTTACTCGTTTCAGATTGGTTATAGCTTTTTTAAATTTAATTAAAGTCGGAGTGTCTATTTCAGTGTTCCATTGAGGCTGTATGGGAATGGTGGGTAGTTGTAGAGTAGTTGAAGACCAGCTGAACTGCTTCTTAACGTGTTCCTCCCATCGTTCTAAACGTCTGGACCGAGAGCAGATAAGAGTGTGGTCCTTTTTTCGAGATTGTCTCATTTACACTTAACTTTTTAATTCCGGTTTATTTTATTAGTCTGAAACGCTGTCTAGTGTTACATGTAGCCACTGCCTTTTCCATCACTTGTTTTCGTTGCCCACCACTGATCACTATCGTTTCGTAACTTTTGGTTAACCTAGATTTGATTTGTTTTCGTTCTTCATCGTGCTCGGAGCATAATGGGGGATGGGTTTACATGAATCTATGGGTGCAATAGACTTGGTAGAAATGCACTGATTTTTCGTAATCCTTTGATTCAAATCACTAGTAGATGTGGGTGCTGTCTCTACAGCTGTTTGTATATCTTTTCAAGCAACATCTGTGCCAGTCTCGTTTTCAGAACTACCTAAGTTTGTCCTCCATTGTTCTTGGAATCTACTTTTGGCATTCTCGCCAAAGTTCAATTCTAATTGGTCTTCTTAATGTGGTTTTTCTGCGTCCAACGAGGAACATGCAAATGAGTGCTTGTATTAGGGCATGATCAGAGTCTAAACATGTACTCCAGAACAATGGGAAGTTTTCTATCGAGCCTCTTCAACGATGACTGGTGGCAATATGATCTATTTGAGTCCATCGTTGGTTTTGTGCAGAGGGTCGCTATGTTAGACGATGTCTCTCATGCTTAAAATTAGTGTTTGCTAAAAATAAACGATTGTTTGAGCACAGTTGCAGCAGGTGATCACCATTATCTATCTGTTCGCTGTGCCGGAATACTAAAACACTCACCTAAATGTCTTTCTGTTTGGTTTAAGCTACCTACATGTGCATTAAACTCACCTGCACGAGTACTGTGTCTGAGTGTTCAGGTTTTCGAGGCAGTTCAATAAGCTTTCTGAAAAAATTATCTTTTACTTCATTTGGGCTGCAGTCAGTTGGAGCGTAGGCAGAAAAGGACATAAAGGCAACGATTTGTGTCACTATCCTTCGAGTTCTTAAGGGACCGTTTAGCCGAATAGCATATAGGCGACTGTTAGCAGGGATCCATCCTAATTGTGCCTGTTTTACCCTCATACTTAGTACTATGCCTACACCCACCAGTCCACGAAAACTAGTCATCGGGTCGCTAAATAAATGGGGGGTGTATCTCGTCGGCTCCTCCGTTTTGGCCAGGTGAGGTCGAGTGAATTACCACTAGGATCCTGTATGCGTGTTTCGGAGACACAGTGTACATAGGATGTTAGGGTTTTAGCCAAGGAGACCTGCTTACCGACTTGACATAGAGTACGTACTTTGAAGGCTCCAATGTCTTGTTTGAAGCCGAGGTTTCAGTAGATGTGGGACAGTATTTCGCGCTCGCTGACACTTTGGAAAGGAGTCAAAAGAGAAAGTTTAGAGTTGAAAGTGGAGATAGGAGGAATCATAAGAATTAAAGAGGGAAATTGATTATGAATGCAGTGGTCTTGAGTGCTGTTAGCGGTATAAGGGCAGTTATCACTTCCCGGTTAACTACACCGTGGAAGGGTTCTTCTGAACGAACTGGAAAAGAAATTGGGTTAGAAGTGGTTCTAGTGACCTGGGAGCCTGACCACAATTTTGAAGATACAACTGCTTGATGTCAGTAACACACGACGTTTTTGTGAATAATCTTTGTGTTAGCGCTGTACTTGTTGAGACCTTACCACTGGAGACCGATATCCGTGGGATAGGGTGAGGTGTGCATTTTTAGGGTCGACCTTTCCTAACCTCACCCTCTCTTGTGGGAAGGCGGAGTCGTTTATTATGATGGTTGTCTGAAGGAAACACCTTACTGCCGTCACACCTCTGTACAGTCAGCAGTATGACATCGCCCTCGGACCTTAGGTTTGCTGCTTTTAGTCTTACCACTCTTTAACCTACCTGTTCGGCATGGTAGGACCTTGAAGAACAATTATTCCAGCCAGTATAGCTCAATTGTCTCAGCACGATAGGCAAGCCCGACTACCACAATAAAGTAGCAGCTACGATCGGGAGCAGGCAATATACTCTTACAGTTATTTGAAAATAGCCCAGTAGTCAATACGAAAATGGCATTCTTAAACACGATGTATGGTTGAAAGATAGCTGCTACTAGGGAGTTGATTTGGCTGAAAAAGTTGAAATTCAAATCAGCAATACAAAACACAATCATTTAGTAATTTTATCGAGTT